CTGACTTAAGCCTTCCCAAACTAAATCAAGCCTCTCCTCTCAATCTACCTAAATCCTCCTCTGAAGCTTTTAGTTATATCCCCCTTCAGTGTACCCACCTTTCAAGCTTGATTGATCCATTTCCAAACTAGCTGTTTTCAAGAGCTGACTGGTGCTGGTGTAAGCTTGAGCCAAAATGATGCTAGTTGGAGCTCAGATCTGGTCTGTTTTTAAAACCAGCTCAGGGTTTAAAACCAAAACACAGTAGTATATTCAACCTACACTGCTCAGAGCTATAACAGGACAGGCAAATTATGCTGAATCTAATGACACTGGTGAGGTTCAAAAATGAATGTTATCTCCAAAATTGCTGTAGGTGTTTTTCTTTCTGTTTTCCTAAACCCAAATCTGGCCATGCCAGGTCAGTCACCCAAATCAGCTGCCAAGAGGTAGCACAGGTTAATGGAGACCCCTGTGGCTTCAGAGAAGCCAGACACCCAAGGCTGGGTGTTGTGTAACTTCTGGAAAATGTAAATAGCTACTCATTTTTATTGAAGAGATTTATTTTATTTATTTGTTTATTCATATAGGCAGTGAAAGGATTCACCAGAGACAGACTGGAGAGCAGAGCAGGTGGATCTCCTGAAATACACTGCTGAGGGAAGCAGTGGGTGAGACAAGAGAGATCTGCTGTGCCGTATGGGCTAGATGCCTCACTGGAGATTGAGCTCAGGTGGCAGTGGCTGGTAATAGCTTTATAATGCTGAGACTTTAGCCCCCTATGCCACCAGGGAGGCCCCATGATGATAGCTACTCTTAGAGTTTAGACCATTTACATTTAGATTAAATACTGATATGTTAACATCTATATTTGTCATTTGTTTTATCTTTTTATCATTTTCCCCTTGCTTTATTGTGTTCTTCTTATTCATTTTTCTGTTGGTTTTTATTTTAGGATATCTTGTAGAAATTTTTGTGGAGGTTTAGTCATAATGAATTTCAGGAGTTTATGTTTGTCTGAGAACGTCCTTATTTTGTCTTCATAAAGCAAGGAGATCTTTTCAAGGTACAGTGTTCTTGGTTGGCATTTGCTGTTTTGAAGTTTGTTGAATATGATACTCCATTCTCTTCTTGCTCATAGTGTTTCTTCAGAGAGATCTCATGTCAGCCTAATTGGTTTTCCTTTGTAAGATAACTTGTTCTTCCCCCTTTTCAGTGTCATTGTTTTTTCCTTGTCTTGGACTTTCACAAGCTTTACTATTATGTGTCTTGCTGTGGTTTTCTTTTCATTGAGGAAATTTGGTGTTCTTCTCATGTCTTTTATGTCTATATTCATTTCCTTTTCCACACTTGGAAAGTTCTCTTAGATTATCTCCTTGAGTAAATTCTCATTTCCTTTTTCTCTCTCCTCACCTTCTGGAATGCATACTGCTCTTCTACTTCCTCTCCTCATGTTGTCTGATGATCGTCTAAGAATTTCCTCATTCCTTTTCATTTTTATTTCTCTTTTGGTTATTTTTACTTCTGTACCTTTAAGAGAACTAATCTGTTCTTCTATTTTATTGATTCTGTTTTCATTGCTTTTCCCAGAGTTCTTTAGTTCTTCCATTGATCTTTTAATCTCCTGGGTTTCTATTTTTTCCTTCTTTAGGGAGTCAATTTCATACTTCAGTTCCTTTTCTCATTTCATTTTTTTTTCTTTTCATCTTCTTTAGGTTGTTTAATCATGATGACTTTAAATGCTCAATCTGGCAGGCAGAAATATTCCATGTCATATGTTCAGTTCTGGTGGCTGAACTTCTTTTTGTGGTGTGTGTTTGCCTTAGGGGCTCATTTGTTTAGTTATAATTTTCCCACTTCTTGCTTTTTTTCTTTAAGAATTATTTATTTATTCATACAAGAATTAGGGTATAGGCCAGAGACAGGATGGGGAGCAGGACAGGCAGATGTACTGAAACACACCACTGAGGGGAGCAGCGGATGGGTTAGGAGAGGTCTGCCATGCCATGTGGGTTACCCCCCTGGCCAGGGATTGAATTTGTGCTGCAGTATTTGTAGATAGCTTCACAGTGCTGTGATTTAACTTTTTGTGCCACCAGTGAGGGCCTCTGCATCTTGCCTTCAAGTTCTATGCTGTGGAATCTCTTTGAGGTGCTCTGGCTGCCTCTTGTTGTTTGTGGCAGATAGAGAGGGATAGAGAGGGAGCCTCTCTATCTCATTCCACCATGATCTGTGGGGGCTTTTATGAGTGTGCACTTACCAACTGTCCTCTGATTGTTTGCAGATCTTCCTCTTTCTGCTCCAGGTGTCATCCTGTATATTTGCTATTTTTTTTTAAGATTTATTTATTTATGCATACAGAACTGGGTACAGGACAGAGGTGCAGGGGCAGTGAGAAGATTCACCAGAGACAGAGCAGGGAGCAGAACAAGCCAACTGATGAAGTACACTGCTGAGGGGAGCAGTGGGTGGGTCAGGATCCATATGCTGTGCCATATGGATCAGGGGATTGAACTCATGCTGATCAGGGGATTTCAGATCAGGGGATTGAACTCATGCTGAAGTGGCCATGCTGAAGAGGCTTTAGCTTTTCAGTGCTGTGCTTTAATCCACTGTGCGACCAGGGAGGGCCCAGGACTGGGTTTTTTAACAGCTGCAGTTGCTCACTTAGGTCAAGTTCCTGGAAGTTGAAAGGTGCTGGCTTTGTGGGTGGGGGAGTGTAGCAGGTTTCTGCTATTTTTTGCACTCAGTTGCCATTTTCTTCCTTGAGCAGATTGCCAGTATTGCCCTGTTTATTTTGTGTGTCCCAGTTTTCATGGATACCTACCACTTTGTCTCTCTTTTTTAGCTGAATCTATGGGAGGACTTAGGAGCAGTGTTTCTTCATCGCCAGGCTGATCCTGAAGTTAGGACAGACTTTTTTTTAACATTAAACATGCCTATGGGACCCATTTTGAACAAGAACTCAGTATGCAAAACCTTACCAAGATGGAAAAACATCTTTTCGTCCTAGAAAATCTTTATCACAGATAAGGTTGACCCCACTTTCATGCCCTCAGTCTGCTACTGACATGACTCTGTATATAATTTTCATAAAGGCCAGGAGATAGGGTGAATTTTATGGAGTTTTAAATCTATGAGTTTTGAGGCATCTGAAAAAATATGTATAGTCTTTTTATTTACAAGCTTGATTTTGCTGCACTGAATATGAAACTTTTTGTAAATACATTGAATAACAAGCAGAGAAATCAGTGTATGTTTTAAGTAGGAGGGGGTAACTCTATTGGTCTTATTAACATTTCATGTGTAAGCTGATTTTAGGCTAGCATGAATTATGCAACTTATTCCTACACCTTTTGAAAAATGTTAAAATGCATATACTCTGGACTTATAAGTCTACAAAGTTTTTTTTTTTTTTAATAATATAGGTTTTGTGTGTACTCTCAAGGAACTTGCCTTCTAATGAGGGATGTTGACATTTTTAAATGATTGTTTCACTTAAGCAGCTTCAGCAATGTAAGAATCTGTGGTCAGCTTGCCAGAGACCCGTATCACCATCTACTATAATCTTCACCCAGGCATTGGATTTCAAAAGTAGAAAAGTCCACAGTTATTAAGGAATTTTGAGCTCTGATTATGGTTTTGCTTGTTAGCCACTTTTAGGGTAAGAATATTCCATCCCGAGAACACAGTTTCTGAGTTGCTCTTGACCTGTAGTACTCTGATTTAGCCATGGATCATGAAGAACAAACACATCCTAAGAAGAGTGTACTCTTCAATAGGTACAGAATTAATGTATCCTACAACCAGAGTCCCCAAATTACCAATCCAAATCAGGTCTGCTGCTGCTTCTTATTATCAAATTAGCAGGCATATTAGAGATTTCCTTGATTTTTTATTTCACTTTATGCCAACCACATTTCATATGCCACTCACATTTGTTCTCTCTGTTGTGCACTCCAGCACCCACCTAGATCTTGATTTAAGCAGATAAACTGAAATTTGCACAAAAATTGTGGCCTTGCACATCACTCCAGCAGATCTAGCTTCTTCACCCAGTACATATTTTAATAATCCCTTTTACTGAAGCCCAGCCATTTAGAGAGGCTGTAGAAAGAACCAGAACAAGTCCATAAACCAACAGAGACATTGCACTACAGGTGATGAGTTCTCATTTTTTCCCATTCTTCAGGGAAGATTATTATCTAAAAATTAGAAACTATATGTATTTGCTTAGTACTCCAATTAAATACTTTCTTCAAATATACTATGTATGCAAAGGCAAATTTGTCTTTGAATATTCAAAATCATTTCTCAGTAAAACTTTCCTACAAGAGAATTGAAGCAAGGACTAGATCTAGCTGTTTTGTTAATATATTAACAGATTTATATAGAAAATACAACATTTTAGCAACCTGGTTTGCAAATGCCTACTGGACTGCAAATAACTCATATGAACAAATGTGTTCTTGAAGTTCCCAGGAAGGCATTTAAATAAGAGATCTCAGAGTAGCTTCTTAATGCCATACTCATACTCCTCCCTACTAGAGAAAATTTCATAGAAATCCCTAAATAATAATACAGATTAGAAGAAATGGAGACACAGCTGTTTAACACTATATTTTGCCAAATGGAAACACATTATTATTACAAGAGTAAATACCTATTGGCCTATCATTCTACTGCCCTGATGTCTCCTTTAATAAATACTTTTTGTAAATTTGAATATGAAAAGACACTATTTACTTAATTAGTGATAAAGAGTCTCTAATATAACTGTAATTGTGTTTCTTCATTTCCATATCTTTGAAAGTACCACTAATTCCTGTAGTAAACCCTCTGCTATTGGGAAAGACATTAAGTTTCTAGAAGCTTGTTTGAATCAAGAATAACTGAATGAAATCACAACATTATGAGCTTTATTGTGTATATATAGGCTAATAACTGTGATTAAAAATATTTGTGTTCAGGTAGGTATTTATTTTAGTGCTTATTTTGCCTTTTTTTCCATTTTATTACAGATTTTTAAGAACATGGGCTCTGATGACACAGTACAAGCACAAGGAAGTCGGAGGTTGATCAGCTTTTCTCTCTCAGGTATGGTTTTGTTCAGCTTATAGCCCTGTTAAGGAAATAAGAATGTCAACCCACATTCAGGAGATCCACTTTAGTTTGACTCATACCTACAATTTACTAGACCTTTCAGTGTTTTCCGTGTAAAACAAAATTTATAGATTTATTCCATTTAATTAACTTGGCTATTGGAATAATGCTGCAATGAAATAGGAGTGCTTAGATCCCTTCAAATAAGTATTTTGCATTCTATGTGTAGGAGTGGAATTGCTGGATCATATGGTATAATTATTTTTAACATTTTGAGATATCAGTGTAATGTTTCCATAGAGTCTGGGCTAGATTACAACCTCAAGAATACACAAGTTTTTCTTTTTCTCCATATCCTTGCCAACATATAGTTCTAGACCTTGGTATGAGATACATATGGGCCATATCTCATAGGTATGAGATGGTATCTCATTTTGACTTTGTTCTTGCACTTCCTTAGTGATGAAAGAGGATAAACGTTTTTTTTCCATGTGTCTGTTAGCCACATGAATATCTTTTTTGGAGAAGTGTCTATTTAGCTTTTATGTCCATTTTTGTTTGCTTGTTTCCCCGTTATTAAGTTGCTTGTTTTTTTAATTAATTAATTTATTTTAGTATTATCTCATTTTAGGATATATGATGTACACATACAAGGTGACTTTAAAAAAAATAATAATTTCTTTCAATGTGTAAAAGCTTTTTAGTTTGATGTAGTCCCATTTGTTCATTTTTGCTTTTGTTTTCCTTGCATAGGAGTTGAGTGCACAAAGATATCATTGAAGTCAATATCAGAGAGTGTTTTACCTATGGTTTCTTCTTTTTGTTTATGGTTTTAGATCTTATCTCCAAGTTTTAAATCCATTTTGTGTATGAAATGAGATGGTGTTCTGGTGTTGAAACTTCCTGTCCATGAATATGAACTATCTCTCCATTATCTTTCTTAGTTTTATTAATCAGTTTTGTAGTTGTTTTCATGCAGATCTTATATGTATTTTGTTAGATTTAAGCTTATGTGTTTCATTTTGTTTTAGTGCTAATGTAAGTGATATTATGTTTTTAACACAAATTTCAAATTCCACACATTTTAACACAAAGTCCACTGTTGAGTGGTGTTATAAAGGAAGTGAATGGCTTTTTGTCTATTAACCTTTTATCCTATGACCTTACTATAATGATTTATCAATGCATCGTCAGATAACACATTTGTTCTACTGGTTCTCACTTAAACAAGAAAAGCCCCAGTTGACTGTGCATATCCCAAATATGCATTGCAATTCATTCATTTGATCTCAGGTCTCTGACATGTACTATCTGCAACATGTTTTAATTTGACAAAGTAAGGCAATCATTTTCAAACTGTGTTCAGTGGTATTCTATAGCTCCATGCCATTGTGTCTCTTCAAAGAACACTTAGGTGAGAATTGAGTATGTGTGGTTATGAGATTTGTATATCACTTTAGCTAGGGAAAAGCAGTATTTATTTGTATTTTTAAGTTTGAATTATTTTATTTTACAGAAGAGTTGCAAATCTAGCACAAAGATTTTCCATGTACACTTTATGTAGTTTACTCATTGTTAACATATTACAGAATTACAATACATTATTAAAACTAAAAAATATTCAACTATTGTATTCATACTAATTACTAAAATTCAGATTTTATTTGGATTTCATTGGTTTTTAAACAAATGTACAGAAAAAACTCAGCTTTTCCTGTCTTACCTATTGTATATCTCAAAGTAATTTCACATCCATTACTTATTGAATATTCCATATTTTTATGAGGTCAAAGTGAATGATATATGGACACAATGGGATATTCCTCACTTATTAGCAAACATAAAATCTTATTCATTTTTACAACAGGGATAGAAGTGGAGGGGATTCTGCTAAGAATCTTTCCCCAAGAGGGGAAAGACAAATACCATATGATTTCAGGCATTAGTGGAATATTAAAAAAGAAAGCAAAACAAACAGAAAAATACAAACCCTTGCAATCTGACTACAGAACTAAAGCTCCCAGATGAGGAAGACAAAAGTGGGGCTGGGTACCCAGTAGCAGGAGGTTATTGGTGCTTTGGTAATACAAATAGTTTGGGAATATACATTTGAATAGGGTAAATCTGTACCCCTAAATATATAATGTTGTAAGCTGCCATCATCTCAATAAAATAATAAATTAACTATATAAAATACTGTAAATACAACTATACATACAGAAATCTCTTAATCTCAATAAAATGAAAATAATCAATCCAACTGAAAACTAGATTAAAAAATGTGAGCACACTTTTTTTTGTGACATTTCACCAAAAAAGACATATATAGAAAGCAAATAAGCATGGATGAAAAGATGTTCCATATCATATATTATAGGGAAATGTAAATGGAAATAATATTTCACTATACACCTATTAGAATGCCCAAAATGTAAATGTAAAGGATAAACTGTCAATAAATAAGCCTTCATGTATTAATAATCACCCTAAATATGATTGTACTGAGGTCACCAGTTAAAAGGTACAGAATGACAAATTGAAGGGGCAAAAATCATGACGTCTACTTTTTGCATATCAAAAACTATTTCAGCTCTAAAGAAAAATAAATGTAAAGTGAAAAACTGGAAAAAAAGTATTTCAGGCTAATAGCACAGGGGAAAAAATGAGGAATTGCTATTCAAATGTCTGTAAATTATACTTTTTTGTCATAAAAGGTAATCAGTGACAAAGATGGGCACTGCATAATGATCAATGGAAAACTTCAAGAAGTATCATGGTCATCAATGTGTATACACCCAATATAGGTGTACCAAAATACAGAAAACAACTATTAACAAACTTAAAGCTACACATGAGGAGGCTAATAGGAGGAGATATCGATCAGCACATAGTTTACATATAGTTTCTCTCATCCTGAGAGAAAGTTAACTAGAAGAAAATTGCCCCAGTGAAACTACCACCTAATAGGTGGACCTGGTACAATCTTCTATCCCCAAAGAAATTCCTCTCAAGAGTACACGGAATATTCTCAAGATATAAATCATATGGTGGAACATAGAACATGTCTCAAAAAAAGTGAAAATAGAAATTACGTCAAACATTTTCTTTTAAAGATTTATTTATTTATGCTTACAGAAGTAGGGTACAGGCCAGAGGTTCAGGGGCAGTGAGAGGATTCACCAGAGACAGAGTGGGGAACAGAACAGGCAGATTGACAAAATACACTGCTGAGGTGAGCAGCAGGCAAGACAGGAGGTCTGCTGTGCCATGTGGGTCAGCTCCGTGTGCTGCATTGGCTTCTGAGAGCTTCATAATACAGTGATTTAACCCGTTGCACCACCAGGGAAAACCCAACATCAAACATTTTTATGACAGTGGAATAAAGCTAATTATTTATTAGCACAAAAGAAACCTGAAAATATAATATGTGGAAACTAAGCAAAATGCTTTGAATAATACCTGAGTCAGTAAAGAAATCAAAAGATAAAGTTTTTCCTGAAGACTAACAAACTATCAATTCAATAGGAATAACTAACAGCAGCATTATTGGAAAGACATAGCAATATAGAACTAAATCCATAATCAGAAACAACTGTTCTAAATAATTTAAATATACATCTGAGAAAACTAGGAAAAAGTAATCTAAAATTGTAGAAATAAGGAAATAATAAGTAGAGAGGAAATATGGGCCCTCCTGGTGGCGCAGCAGGTTAAAGCACAGCACTAAGAAGCTAAAGCCACTTCTGCATGAGTTCGATCCCTGCCTGTCCCGGAGGTGATCCACATGGCGCGGCAGACCTCTCCTGACCTGTCTGCTGCTCCCCTCAGCAGTGTACTTCGTACATCTGCCTGTTCTGCTCCCCACTCTGTCTCTGGTGAATCCTCTCACTGCCCCTGCACCTCTGGCCTGCACCCAAGTTTTGTATGCATAAATAAATAAATCTTTAGAAAAAAAAATAAGTAGAGAGGAAATAAATTATTTAGAAACCAAAAAAAAAAAAGACAATGTGCAAATCAGTGAACCCAAAACTGTTTCTTTGAAGGGCAAACAAATTTGATAAACCTGTAACTCGACTCACTAAAAAGAGAGAAAACTGAATAAAATGCCAGAAATAAAAGAGATGAAATTACAACAAACACCACACATATGCAAGGGTCATAATATATTATTATGAATATCTATGGAAAAATAATTAGACAATCTAGAAGAAATGGACATGTATCTTTATACAACGTTCGACTGAACCAGGATGACGTAGACAATGTGAATGGACCAATCACAGCAAAGAAGTTGAAAGGGAATAAAAAGTCTCCTTAAAAATAAAGACTCAGGGGGCCCTCCTTGGTGACTCAGCAGGTTAAAGCAGAGCACTAAGAAGCTAAAGCCACTTCAGCATGAGCTCGATCCCCAACCCTGGAGGTGATCCACATGGTGCAGCAGACCTCTCCTGATCTGCCTGCTCTCCCCTCAACAGTGTACTTTCATCAGATGCCTGTTCTGCTCTCCACTCTGTCTCTGATGAAGCCTCTCACCACCCCTGCACCTCTGGCCTGACCGCCAGTTCTGTATGCCTAAATAAATAAATCTTTTAAAATAATAATAGAGACTCAGGATCAGATGGCTTCTCTTGTGAATTGTGCTTATCATTCAAAGAGGATCAAATATCTGTTGTCAAAAAGGATAGAACATTCCCAAGCACATTTTACAAAGCCAACGTTACCTTGATCACAAACAAATAAGAAAAAAATATTAAACCCTGTAGACTGATGTCTTTTATAAATATAAACACAAAGTCCTCAAAAAACCTTGACGAATTGAACCTAGCAATATATATAAGAGAATCATCCATTGTGACAAAGTGGGATTGATACCAGGGATACAAGGTTGGTTCAGTATATGAAAATCAATCACAGCAATTCATCACTGACATCAGCAAAAAGAAAGATAAAATCACAAAGATCTTTCAATAGATGCTGAAAAAAAATATTTGACAAGATTTACCACTCACATTTAAAGAAATTATCTGTCAAATGGGAATGAAAGGAACTTAAGATGTCATTCATTACAAATCCACAGTGAACATTATACTCAATGGCTGTAAACTGAATGTATTTTCCCCAAGATCTAGAAAACAACAAGGATGTCACTTTCACCTCTACTATTCAACATAGTTTTGGAAGTTATACCCAGAGAATTTAGACAAGTAAAGTTTATAAAAGGAATTGAAATTTGGAAATTTGTACATTACTGTGAAAATTGTGATATGAATCTATCACTATTCAGAGAAAATACAATTAAATACATAAACAATTCAAAGATTCTACAAGAACCCTGCTAGAAATAATAAATGAATAAGTAATATGGCATATAAATTATAGCAACACACAAAGATCTCTTGTTCCTATATGGAAACAATGACTTAGAAGAGAGATAATGCAGTTATAAATACCTGAAATACCTTGTGAAAAACTTAATAGAGGATGTGAACAACTTAAACACTGAAAACGTTAAGAAAATAACTGTCAAAGAAAATAATAGAAGTTTCGAATGAATGAAAAAGTATCTCGTGTTCATGAATTTGAAACAAACTTTGTCAATATGGCCATATTAGCTGAAGTAATGTACAGATTCAGTACAAAACTGATTTTAAAAATCCCAATATTTCTCCTTTATTATTTTTTAAGACTTTATTTTTCTGTAGAAGAAAAGGGGTGTAGGCCAGAAGTGGGGAGGGCTTGATGGGATTCAATTGTTCTGCTTCAGTAGGGAGCAAAACAGGCAGATCTACTGAAATCCACAGCTGAGGGAGCATTGAGTGAGACAGGAGTGGTCTGCTGAGCCATGTGGGCAAGCAGCCTGGTCAGAGATCAAGCTCAGGCTATTGTGTTGGGCTGACATGGTGATAGAAGTGAGAATTAACACCTAGGCAACCAGGGAGGCCCTTCCCAATGATATTATTTTTAAAGATTTATTTATTTATGCATACAGAACTAGGGTACAGGCCAGAGGTGCAGGGGCAGTGAGGGGATTCACCAGAGACAGAGTGGGGAGCAGAACAGCAGATCGACAAAGTAAACTGCTGAGGGGAGCAGTGGGTGAGACAGGAAAGGTCTGCTGCGTGAAGTGGATCACCTCTGGGGCTGGGAGTCAAACTCCCACTGAAGCCACTATGGCAAGCTTGCAGAGCTGTGTCCTAACCCGTTGCACCCCCAGGGAGGGCCCCCAATGATATTTCTTAAGAAAACAGAACAATTATATATTTTATGTGTATGTATCCACGAAAGACCCCAAATAGCTAAAAAATATCCTAAGTGAATAAAAGAAAAATAAGGCATTATTTGACTATTTGATTTCAATTTATACTTACAGCAAAAGTAATCAAAATAGTTAGATGATACACTCCTGGACAGCAACTACACAGGTATTTGGATACAAAACTCAAATGACAAGGAAAACAAAACCAAAAATAAACAAATGGTACTACAGATTTTTTTTTTTAAACCAAAGTAAAAATTACAAAAAAAAAAAAAATGTAACAAACTGAGTGGGAGAAGATTTTTCCCACATCACATGTCTGGCAAGTGGTTAATTTCCAAAATATATAAAGGATGAATACAACTCAAAAAATAACAACAAATCCCAACCAAAAAATTGGAAAAAAGACAGATAGTTCTGCAATGAAGACATTCAAATGGCCTAAATACACATGGCAAAATATAAGCATTACATATTATAGGGAAAGAAAATGTAAGTCAAAACCTTCATGAGATACCACCTCACCTCCATGAGAATAGTCTTTGGCAGAATGATTGTAAACAATAAATGTTGATGAGGATGGTACATAAAAGGAATAGTCATCCATTGTGAGAATGCATTATAATTTGATGCAGCCTTCATAGATAATGGTAAGGTTATTCCTCAGAAAAGAAGGGAGGAAGGGAGGAAGGAAAATACCAAATGATTTAGGAATACCACTGCTAGGTATTTAGGACCAAAAGTGTTCTTACATGTATTCATTCAATAATTTCCTAGTTGAACAAATAGAGACTTGAGTTCATTTGTTATAATGTTTAATAGTGTATGTGACAAAATTAAAAAAAATCTAAGTCTACTTACTCCTAAACTATTGTACTTTTAAATTATACTCCCACTGCAATAGCTTTGAACATTTCTACTCCATGAAAATAGGTTTTAATAAATACCCATATTGAACTGAAGAATATACATTTACATAAAGAAAGATATAAACATTTACTGAAGGACATGAAAGAGGAACTGAAAATGAAAAAGCATGTTTTCGAGTGACAAGTTTTGATATTATAAATGCACCAATTTTTCTAAAACCAGCCCATAAATCCGAAATCCCAAATATTGGCAGGGGAGTTACAATAAATGTGTAAGTAGTCAAGCAATATGGTTATTTTTAGGAAACAAAAAAAAGGTTTATCAGGTATCTAAATATATGATAGGATGTGTTGATTCAGATATGACTATTTGTTTGATAGATTATAGAGGGTGTATAAAAAGACCCATCTGTACCTCAAAATTTAACCTAGGCCTAAAATTACATTTTTATAAAAGTTAATGCAGCCTATGTTTAAAAGTACATACTTTAGAATCAAATCACAGTTTCAAATTTCATTACTAAAATTGACCATATTCTGAAGAACTGATAAAGTTACTTAGTTTATAATCTTCCATTTTCTTTTCTCAAATTAGAGATACATCTACTTTACAGAGTTTGTGGTTAAGATTAAGTCAGATAATGTATGTGCAGGGCATAGATTAATTCCCAGAATTTAGCAACTCGTCAATAAATGACAGTTGGAAGTAGTGATGGTAGACTATTTTATGATGTATAAATTTGTATGTCTGTCATGCTCTGGGACAGGTGCAGCCCCAGATTTGTTGATTCACTAGGAATACTGAGCCATGAGTTACTCTCATTGCTATGATTTATTACACTTGAAGAATGTAAAATAAACAAAGGAAAAAACTGCCAGCAGTTTATTCTGATGGAAACCAAGTGTGAAATCCATGAATCCTCTCCCTGTGGAGTCACACACAATGCCTTCATATTCCCATAAACAAGCTGTGGCAATGCATAGGAAATGTTGTCTACCATGAAGGCTCCTCACAGACTCAGTGCCCAGGGTTTTCAGTGGGAGTTGATTGTAGAGGCACTTCCTGCCTAGTACTTACCAAAATTCCACACTTCCAGAAGAAAGTGTGAACCTCACAGTTTGTAAGCCAGTTTAGATTCAGTGAGCCACTCTTACCCGCCCTGAGATGGTGGGAACCCTCTGATATTTAACTTCCCAAACTATATCTCTGAATCAGCTTCATAAGCAGGCTGCTGAATTACCTCTTTTCTATACACAATCCTCTAGTGTAATTTGGGTTTTGCAAATTTTCATCATGCTTGCTGTATTTTTTCTCCTTTTAGTCCCCTCATGATAATATATTATGCAGGATACTAAAAATAATTTAATTATGGAAACAACCTTTAATCAACTTAAAACATACCAGGTTGAGAATCAATTCAATGTATATCAATTCAGTGCATCTTTACATCCATTTCTTTCATATATTGACAAGTTACTGAATTCTGGAAATTAATCTATGCCCTTTACATTACAACACTATATATGATTTAGAGGACTAGGCTTTCACCCTTTAAATGTATGTTATCACAACATGTCCACCACCAAAGTATCCATAATCCTTCACTGTAGTCCATTGAATCCCAATCCTATTTAGCCCTTCCCCCTCACTCTCTCCCTCTGGTAGTCTCAATTCCATAGTCACATTTCTAGGGCTTGATTAATTTGATTTATCTTGTCTGTTACTTCATTGTTTTTATATTTTACATATGAGAGAAAAAATCTGGTATTTGCTTTCTCCTAAAAGATAAAAATCATATGATTATGTTTGTTGACATTAATAAATACAAAAATGATATAATTTATCTCAGAGTAACTATAACCTTCATTACAAATTATATATAGATATATGTCACTCTCTCAAATTATATATATGTATTATATATGTGTGTTATATATATGTATATATTGAGAAAGAGAGTGATTATATCTATATAGATATATAAAATCTTATGCTGTGGAAAAGGATT